ACTCTTGCTGTACTTACGCTAAGGTGTAAACTCAAAAGATCTAACAAATTTTCTATACTCTAAAACACTGGAGGTGAGGGTTTTTTTAAAAGAAATCCACATGCTTTTGTGTGCAACACCTGCACAAAGTTTTCATTCATAATTTAGATAGAAAAGCAGTTCACAAATCATAATGAACAAGGTTTGAATAAACACAGCAGAGACTTCTGTGCAGAGCATAAAATGGATAGTTAGACAAGAATAATGGCAGAGGTTTTTGTTTGGCCCTATTAGAACTTTGTTAGAAAGATTAATCCCATTCCAGACAACTGACAGGATTTGAGACGTTCTGTACAGACAGTTCAACAACTATGTCAACAATTTAAGCCTTGGCAACCTCAGGCCCACTCACATAGAAAGACAGACCTAGAGGGAGACACACCCCTGTTTTTAGAAGAGCATCACAGCCAAATGGTTTTCCTATCACAAAGACAACTTGTGAGGAGCACAGGGTTTGTTGTTGGGTTGTTTTTTTTTGTTTTTTTTTTTTTTTAAGAAAGAACAAGAAAAAAGAAAAAAAGTAAACTGAAATTTGTTCAATAACATGCAATACACAGAACTTGGTAACAAAGATGCATTATATTGCACCAATTTACACCATGGATTAATCCTGCCTGGTAGTGTCACATGCACAGTTAACCATGAATATTATTAAGGATCAGTAATAATTTAGCTGGTCAGGTAACTTGATCCAAGCTAATCTTTTCTGTTAAAATGGCAAGGAAAGGGATCTCTCTATGAAGTTGACAATACAGTAGTGGAAAACCAGAAAATGTTAGACAAGCATCCATTGCAAATTTGTATACTCATGGGATGTATTATGCCCCAGATCCACTACGGGTCATGAGATACTTGACTGCACACAAGGGGCCAATGAAGTCGCAAGGATTCAACCACATAAAGAACAACGAAATAAATCTCTCCAGTGTAATTCCCACAAGATGTTTACATTCAGACCACCATCAGGAAAACATTCTAATGGCCATAAATTTGAATCCACATGCAAAAGCCCACAGAGACATTTGGGCAACCAGTAGGATTATCTCTGACAAATCTTCTTTCTCTTTTTATAGTCTATGGGTTTAACTTTGTGGATAGGGCTTTAGAAACCTTTTGCACAATACAGTGGTGATCAGCACCAGATGTGCAGGGAAATCAGTAAAAAGCAGTATCTTAAAAGGCTTTCAATATTGTACCTTCCTTTGATGAAAAACAACAAGCAAGCAACAACAAAAATCTTTCTTTACATCCATTAAAAAGGGCAAATTCATTACAAGTAACAAAAAAAATGTTAAAGAGAAAAAACTTGGCTTAAACCTTTTTTCCTTGTTACAAAATACTGACTCTTTCAAATTAAAACTTTTTTTTTTTAAAAAAAATGTTCCGTGTCAGGTGGGGTTTGTTTGATTTTTTTTCTTTTTTTCTGAACTGACATGATCCTCTGAAGCAAAGTTATCTGCTTTCACACCTTGGTGGGACCCAGGCCTTTTCAAGCAAATATTGCTTTACTTTATTTTAAGTTTCTAACAGAGCAAAAGCACAGTCACTGCAGAAAGAAGCAATGAAACAAAGGAGGACGACGTTGATGGACTTCCCAAGGTCGCTGCAGGTGCCAGACAATGGTTCCCAGGAGGGGAAAACATGGTTGTTTAAAAACAAATTTGGTGCATGTGGCAAGCGTGGATGTTTCCCCGTGAGATCCAAGGTGACATGTATGACGACAGACATAGGAAAGGAGTAAGGGGAAGAAGGGAGAGGGCAGGGAAGAAAGGAAGAGGAAGAAAAAGAAAGAAAGAGAGAAAGAGAGAAAAATAGATAAAAAAAATTAGGTCATAAATACAGAAAACATAAGAATCAAAGGTTTATTTAATTTCATAAATTAAAATGGCTAAAGGTTAAAGAAGAGCATTAGCACATTCACACCGACAAAAGGGCCGGTTCAGAAGCTCAGCAATGTCCAAAGCCGCAGAGCAGGGTCGAAGTCAGGGTTTATGGCATTTGCAAGCAAATGAGATTAAAAATGATGGAACAGAAGGCTCAGTGAGAAACACAAGAAAATGGTTATCTGGTATTTGAAAGGACAACACTGCCTTTTACATATATGGTAAAAAAAAAAAAAAAAAAGAAAAAAAAAAGATTCTGTGTAGCAGACAATCCACCTGCCTGTCCAAGTCCTTCCTCCAAAGCCTGCTGTAGCAAGGACTTGGATAATAGATCCGGGTGACTAAAACCCTGGAGAAGCAAGAAGGTCTCAGGAATACAGGACTTTTCCATTTAGCTTTCCAGCTGCTTGTAAACTACTCTAATGCAATTATTATTATTACTGAAAATAATAACCTTATAAATCAAATGTAAAAGCTAAATGCCATAAAAATGACAAGAGATGCTAAAGGAAAGTAATACACAGAGCCTCTTCCCTACTGTAATTTGGCATGCTTGCCTTCATTTCAATAGAGGCCTGTGGACTGCATGTCAGAAAAATCTAGCCTGCCCTCTGAAATATTTTCCCCAAGCTTATTAGTTTGGGGATCAGCTCAGGCAACCAAAGGGTCTGGCAACACCTTGGAAGGCCTAATAGAAACCAAAGTCCTCTACAAAATGAAAAATGAACAAAAAAACCCCTAGAGAAACAGTCACAAATCCAGCATAGCCAGCGGCAATCATTTCACTGCACAGTGCTCTGCTCGCCCCTGAACCACAGCACATTCCTTCTGAGAACCAGTGGCATCCATCTGTTGGGTCAGTCCTGCAGCAAACGTGCACTCTGAAACAACTGCTTTGCAAAGTGCTTCTGCCATTTCCAAGTGCAACATTTGAATGGCAGCCTCAAATCCTGATTCCTCCTATGCTTCACACCAGACTAAGTGAGGAATAATTTCAGAGAGACCAAAAAAGTCACACCTGTGATAATAAACTCAGCTTTCCCCCCCCCCCCCTCGCCTCCCCCCCCCCTCCCCCCCCCCCAATTTTTAGAGGGTCCCTGTCCGTGTTACTGTTGGATTTAAAGGGTTCAGTGGCATCTGGGTTCATTGCTCCTCCCATTGCCGTGGACTACAGTACGAACACTGTGTATTCCGAAGGCAACAGTGTTCTCAAAATTTGCTAATACACCTGTGCAAGACATCTCAGCTGTCCCAGGTAGCTTTGTTGTCCCGTTGGGCATGTAACAAAGAGAGTATCAGCACAGGAAGGCAACAATGGTTGCACACAAAGGAGTGTGGAGGAACAAAAAGACTGATCAGTACTTGTAACTGTGGTGGTGCATCCCTCCCCGCCTTTTCTCTCTCTCCAACTGCTTTACTGCATTCGTGACAGTAACTTTCCCTGGGGAGATACGTCACGGTGCAAAGGAACCACTTTCTGCTGTTTCCAGCCTACTGCATTTGACTGCTCAGCTCTGAACTGACCTTAAGGCACTCTTTGCCAAACTACCCTCACTTTCTCCTGCCACATGAGTCACAGTTGTCCTTCAAATATGTAAGAGTAGTAAGTATTATTAGAGCTGTTGAAAATGAGAATCAGAGCATAAGTTGTTTAATGAGTTACTGAGGGTCCTTCCACCCAAAACTACAGCCTTGTTCAAACACACATCCCAATCTCTCTTTTGCCCCATTTCCCTCCTCCTCCCTATCCTCATCCTCCTTACCACACACATTTCTCAAGCCCCAGCCAACTAGGTCACTTATTTGTATGCTTAACAACGCTGTCTGGCTTAATCAAATGGAGTTTCAGCATGCAAAGTGCAGAAGGTCTCAGCTGTTTCCTTCACACAGGAAGGGAGTGGGCACTGTGGGGACAGACCTAGGACTGAATTCTCAGTGCAAGGGAAAGACTGAAGAAAACTCTCTAGTTGTTCTAAGGAAAAACACGAGACTAAGTTAACAATCTAGAAGACAGAATGAAATAAATCACTCCCTTCAATATGGACTGTCAGTACCAATCTTGGCATGAATATGCTTAACTCTGGCTGTGCAGCGAGGACTTATCTTGACTGACTCATCAGCTTTAAAGTTCATCTATCTGCCTTTATCCAATAAGAACTTTAATTTACAGGTAGTCCAGCAATTTCATCCTTGAGGTTTTGTTTGTTTGGTTGGTTTTTTTCCTTTTTAAATTTTTTTTTCTTTTTTTAAACATGCACTACTACTACCTGTGTAGAAAAGAAATACTAACTGTCCTTTCAACACCTTCCAGCGAAGTGCTGAATTCCTAGCATCTCAGCTAATAAGCTCTGCTTGTTTTTCGTAGCATTTGAACTTCTACCTCACTTTTTAAGCACGTTAGTAAGTACAGTCTGTCTGAAACAAGAGTTTCCAGCAGCACTCTAATACTGTTTAGTTACTTTTCCCTAATGCCCTAACCAACATTAAAACAGTGCTGTTTTAAAATTACTGTAATTTGATGTCCATTTCATTTAATAAAAAACCTTCAGAGAAAGATTTTAACCCCCTCCCTTTCCAACCGCTAGCAAACTCCTTATGCCTTTATTTCTCCAAAGGCTGAGCTGGATGGACAAACGAGCAGTAAGCAAGCCCTAAGCAGATTTGGAAGGGAGATCTGCATTGTGAAAGGCATCGCCCCAGAGATCTCAATGGTCTCTTTTGCTTTAGTTTAAAATGGGAATCCTACTTCCCTGGTTTCAGAAAGCGTTTTCTGTCCACTGCTTTTCTCATCTGGCAATCCTGTTACCCTGATACAAAAAGCCAACATACCCTCTAAACAGTCAGACAAGGATTTGTCATGTAGCATTCCTAACAGTGTACTGCTAATGCTGTACATACTGTAACATGGACTACAGTACAGGTATGTACATGGCAAAATCTAAGCTTTGGATGGGTAACCAATTGTGACAATGGCTTTAAGCAAGCAAGTTGTCGGGGTTACTCAGGCACATTAAAGGATGCAGCACTGTTGCATTAATAGGAAGCAGAAAACAATGGTAAAGCTTATGACTGCTGTACCTGGGATGACAGTAGGCTGAGCAGAAGTTCGGAAAGCATAGTGAGCTGGTTTGGACTTCCCTTGCTGGTTTTCAGCTATCACATAAACCTCATACTCTGCATTCCAGTCCAGGGACTTGAGCATGACGTGGTCGCTGCCAGACGGAAGTCTGATCTCTGGTTTCCATTCTGAGGAATGCTTCTGCAGAGCAGCGAGATGACAGGCAGGGATGCAAAACACACAGCACAACATTAGTAGCCAGCTTTGAGAACACTGTAATGGCTAACTACCAAATGGAAAAGTGGGGAGGTTTCTATACAAGCACATGCTCCTCAGCTAATTCAGGGGAGCAAAACATCATGTGCTGTTGGCTCTAAGCGGAGAGGACAAGACATACCAAAGCAGCCTCCTTCCTGCTCAGAATCCTGTTTTCTGCAGTGTTACCACACCTGAAGAAAATTCCTCAGTTCTTCCTCTCATCTTTGCCACATCTCTAGACTACGTCCATTTCAGGGGGGAAAAAGCTGCAACTTCTGTATGTCTCTGCCCTGCAAAGCACTTTAAGAGTGTTCTTTCACATCTTAGTATGTAAAATTTAATTAATCTGAGAGACAGATATTTACCTCTTAACACAGGTCTGGCCTAGCTTACCACTACCATTCTACTCCGCACCATTTAAGAGAGATTTTAAAAGGTGCATACAGCTAGTGACTTTGATAATTCCTACTCCAGTTTCAGGGAATTCAGATGTACATTTCACCCAGACAAATTTGAAAAACCCACTGCCAAGGTACCTTGAGACTGTCTTAGGCAGTTTGCTGGGACTGGAGTATGCTAACAGACTTTTCCGTCTCTACTGGAATTTATGGTTCTGTGATACTAGGTTGTCCTTTTGACATTCCAAAGACTCTTCCCATTCTAAGAAGCTTTAAGCAACCTAAAATGCACAAAATGATGTTGGTAACGAATACCCTTGGGATTTCTGGACTGCAGTGCAAAGTTTGGTCTGTGACAATCTAAGGATTGTTCATTTGTAGCATATAGAGAAAAGATTACTAATAGCCAATAGAGAATTAGTTCAGTACCAGATCTGCGAGACTCAGTCACTGAGAAAGTGTGCTGCTTTCTTAATACCTGGAAAGCTTCCATATTTCAGCTCAAACTGGTACAGCTGAGCTACCCCTAGATATATTAAGACTGAAAAAGTGTGCAGACAATAGAAAAAAGCTTCAATAACTTCTCGCAATTTTTTCTTCTGCTCTGAAGAGATTCATATTCTCACTGACCCTCTCTCAAGGTCCTATTCCTCAAGGATGTGCTAAGCGATCTCTCTGACTGGGTGCGGGTTTTTTTTGTTGGGTTGTTTTTTTTTTTTTTTTTTTGATTGGTTGGTTCCCCCCGCCCCCCATTTTCCCATTGTAGGAAAGAAACATCAAATACCACCTGACACAAAACAAGGGCCGTGTTCAGCTTACAACAATACTACAATACCAGCTGCTCATCACATAGGTGTTCTTTCCCAAGACTTGGGCTAAATGTTTTGCTCAGAGAATCATGTATTTTGCAATCTTGGGTAATTTACAATGAGAGCTGATTAAGTTAGGCCTAAAGGGGAACTGCTTCCAATAGCATCTCTCACTTTATCTGTGTCTACACTGACTATGTTGAATGTCTTATTCAATAATCTGCAGAATAATTTGGTACTGAAGCACCCATTATTCAATCAAATATGGCAGCTTCAATGATGAATAGAAAGTTATGATTAGATACGTGTCTGAAGGTGGCAAAGCTCTACACTGTGAACTTCTGGTCCCCAGCTATTTAAGTTGTTGCTGGCAATTCCATCTCAGAAGTATACAAAATGAAATAATACTAAGCGCATGCAATTACAATATGCTCACAGTTCTACAGAAGACAGCATGGAGGAATAATCTTTCATAGCCAAAAGTGAAAGGAAAGAAAATGAGACAAAGATTTTGTATGTTGTCCTTGTGCATGTCATGTCTTATACCCTATACGCTTCCACCACACCTGCTTAGCATGTATTCCCGTACTGGCCTACCTACAAGATCTTAGCTTCAGGGTTGTCTGCCTACACAGCAAAGCCTGAGTACTGAACAGGCTAAAAACAAATCAGGCTTGAGTGTCAGTCATACTTACAGCTTTGTACTTGATCAGATAATGTCTAATTGGGGAGCCACCATCATCCTGCTTGATAACGTTCACTTTAATGGAGTTTCCATCTTCTCCCATCTGACCTTCCAGTTTGGGTGCGCTGGGTTCCCCTGAAACAATGGTGGATTTATGTTTAATAGCAAAAAAATTCATTAGGGAAAAAGTACTCATCAAAATCAGAACAATACTTCATTGTACTCAGCTGCTAGGGTATCAGCCTCACTCTGACCCAGACACAGAGGACACTGTGTGTCTAGGGTACCAATATTTGTAGGACCCAAGTATTTCTTGCATTTGGTAGTTTGTTTTCACCAATACAAGTTACCATTTTTGTGTGTGCCAGAATGGAGTCAGACGCTAAGTGGAAAAGACTCCACCCTTCCCCGAGAATATCCTAGAGCAATGACCAGTTCCTCGCTATTTTTGTTGTAAAACACTGATATGAAACACCTGGAAAATGTCGAGATAGGGTATGTGGCAAACAGGCAGGCTGTTCCTGTGAAATGTAGATGTAAAAGAGCATCATTGAAAAAGGACATTATGCTTGTCATACAGACCTGTGTTTCCACTTTGAATGTTGGTTAAGTTTTATAGTTGCTGGACCAGACTCACCAGTGCGCTCGCTTAAATGAACGTGGAAAAAATGGTACTGAATCGCAACAGCACATCTTTTCACGCGGCTTGCACTGGTATTAACTAATTGCAATAAATACAGGCTGGAGAGAACTAGGCCCCTTCGCTCTTCTGTGATAACCATTTTTTAAAGAGAAAGCTATCACTTCCCAATTTGCACCCCTGACATCGGCAGAAAACTGAGATGTCATTTGCCTCTGCAGGGCGCACTGATTTACAACCACACCCTTTCACACCCACGTCTCTACAGCTGCTTTTTCTAGCCTGTTCCTCCATAACCTGCACACACAATCTGCAGAGGATAGTTCCCCAATCCCAAGTACTTCCTTCTCACACCTTTACTGTAACACCTCTCCTAACAAAAGTCAAATCCACAGATTGTCCAATTACACAGTTACACCACCGCCCCCCCGCCCCGCCCTGCCTTCAGAAATACTGCAGCAAATTGCTCAAGAGACATGCTTCCTCCTTCTGCTTTCATGTTACCCTAGGGATCAATTGTTTCCGAAGTGCTGTAACAGCCTGTGAATTTACTATGCAAGAGGCATTATTACCTATTTATTTGTTTTTGTGGAATAAGAAACCCATCAACCGAACAACCCCGTGTCCCCAACGACATAAATAATTAGCAAAAGAACTTGAATGATAGAAGACCACTGGTCTCTCTTTTCAAAACTGACATAGAGCACAAGAGAGCTCAGATCCTGCTACCTTTCTGTCAGTGCCTGGATGCTTGCTTTGCTCCAATTTATGTAAAGGCAAGAAAGGCTTAGGTTCATCTATGCAAATGCTCATCTGAGACTGAAGCTGGAGCTATTATTTCTACAGCCCCCAAATGTTCCAAGAGTTTAAATGCTAGTCAAAGTCAGTAAGACTTGACAAAATTTATCACAAATCTTGCTGAAGCTTACAAGGTCATTTTACAGTACTTACTGACTTCTTTAGTATCAGCTCTGTGATGTAGTCTAAGTGCTTAAGCTATGCATCCTGGGCTTAAAAGCTTCTTAAGAACTTTTGACCATTTTAGCTGCTATTCTCTGGAAGCTATTCTGCCGAATTTCTTTATGGGTAATTTGAGCAAAACCAACACTGCAATTATTTGTAAGTTAAAACAGTAAGTTAAAATCAGCTGCAATTGGCAATTCCAGCAAACCCCTGAGATTAATTACACTCTGCTGGCTGGTCTCATTACAGGGTCCCAATGCTTACAGGTATTTTATATAACAATTAAAGTGGTTGAATGTTAAAAAGCAAAAAATTCCTACATCTCTGTTTAACCACAGGTATGCGTATTTCATGCATTTTGGAAGTATTTCTATTTATTCATCTGAGTGATGAGTTCCTCATTTAGAGCTGACTACAGGAAATTTATGTACAGAGAATACAACAGACAACACCCATCCTGCGTTGTGCTGTGCAACTTGAATCTAAATACACACTTCCCAAATGTTTGCCACCCCAAACATTTGCACAGGTTTGCTAATGCTGAGCACGTACTTTACTGTTCTAGCTCCAAGTGACCTACAGTTCTGCTAAAGCACCTGTCTTTACTTGCAGTGCCACTTGTGGTTTGGCCAATGGGCTTTCTTGTACACATGCTCACAGATACACCGAAGTGTGGTGAAAATACAATTAAAAGATGATCCAATTCTGAAAGGATCCCAAAGAGAACAATACCCAAACTCTGAAATGGTGACATTTGCAACTTAAGAACCTGAATGTAACCAAATGAGAACAAAACCAGGACAACGAAGTAACATTTGTGACTTTTAAAAAGCTCAGCCTGTTGCCTAGAGTAAAACTTTTTAAAAAGACTTAGTTCTGTTGCATTACACTGAAAGTGACAGGAAATAATGTCAGTAGTTATATTAAGATCAACTTTGAAAGATAACATCAGTCATGGGAATTTACAGGAGCTTCTTTCAACCCAAAAAACATTCTCAATTCTAAATCTATTCTCTCTGGATTTGTATTCAGCTACTAATGGAGAGCACATGCATTTCTGACTGGCCAGAGAAAGGTTAATCTTCCAGTATCTTTCAAAGCTGATCTTCAGGAGTAATTTGAAGCCCTTCCCCCACCCCCTTCCCCTCCAAAGAAAGAATTCAAGCACTTTCTTTTTTTTTTTTTTTTGTGAAACATCAATGAGAGAACTGCAAGAGCTAGACTGAAACAGTAATTTAAGATTAATTTGATTTTCTGGCAGGCTAACACATGCTCTGTCTAACATACCAACTGTTCCAAGAAGGTAATTACAATCCATAGATACAGAGAGCTCTTTGATGCAAGATACTTACATTTGTGCTTCACAACATAGTAACTCCTCTCAAAGACATAAAGAAGGAATGCTCCCTTTTTCCATGTTATATTTTTCTTTTCCAAATCCTTGCCTCTGCCTATATCCCCATTACAAGGCTCCCATGATACGAGCTGGACACTCAGGAGCTGTATTCCATCCTGTGACAGGTTTCTCAGTGACTGTACATTGAAAACACAAAGGTAATGCTCTCAACGTGACCATGGAGCTGCCCTTGCATGGACCTGTAGCGCGGTTTGAAGCAGACGGCACACAGGGATAGGTTTTCCTGTTTATGTTACAAGAGTTGCTATGCACTCCTCTGGAGTTCTCCTGGTTCACACAGTATAGGGCCATTCATGTCTCAAGAAATGACAAGAGGATTTCGTGTTTAACTGATGACCACATTTGCCATCTACTGTATAGAAAAAAGGGTGGATTTTTATCTTTACTGCCAACTAACTGAGGCTGCATATTTGAAAAGCCCTTCCCAGCCCATGTTTCTCCTGGAATTACGAATGCTGCATACAATGCATTGCAGATTGAAAATTAAATGGGAACCAGCGAGTTCTAGATGAGCAGAAGTACCTCACCTAGGCATACTGAAAATATCAGATTAACCAAGCAATTACATTTTTTTCTTTCCTCAGTCCTCAAAGAAAAATATCACCGCAAAGGTTACTGGTTTTGACTATTGTGTTGATTTGAGCTGAAGAAGCTATTACTGCAATAGCTGTGTCACAACTATTAACCAATAATTAAATGAAACCAGACGCAAATGTTTTCTTCTATCATTTTTTCACACAAGAAACTAGCTCCAGTAACAACAATTCATAGCGACTCATTTTGCTGGACACTGAGCCACTTGACAGTGCTGAAACATTTATGAGCAGTAGTGCTTAACTGCTGCCATATTTGTGGTAGACTTGATGAATGACTTCACTAATAACTAGACAGTGTAAGCTCAACACCTCCTCGATACTCTTTCCCATCCTCACCTCAGAGAGATAATTAGTAATAAGCAAAGAGATCTTGAAGTGATAAGGGAACACCGTACTTACAGAATTTGACCTCTTATCTAACAGAGGCTAGAATTTTTTTCCAGTGATTGAGCACCAAGACTAAAATGTGAAGGAACATCCTTTGGAAAGATGCTCATTCTTGATAGATTTTAAATGTCAGAGATGGTGCTGTACCTATTATACAGCCATTCCAATGATTAATTACCCTCTCTGCTGAAACTCTTCTTCACGTTGAATTGTCTAGTTTCTAGCTCCCAATTCCTTCCTTCCCCAATAGTTTAAATGCAATTCTGCTCTGAGAAACATTCTCTTCAAATCGGAGTACACAGACCACTCCTAATGGCTGAAACCCCACAGGTACAGCAGTGCAAGCCCTGGCGAAGAATACTTTTGTTTTCCCTCCATAAATACATGGTATTTAATTTATCTTAAGCAGGCAGATGTAATCCAGATGCAGGGCTGTAAAATTAAAAATGGGTTAGTGTGTAATTTCAAACAAAGGAGGAAGAAGTTTAGTGGGAAAAGTTTAGTCCAGCAGAATCAGCATCCCTATAATGAGTCAAAGTGTCAGAGGCTGAAGAGAAAAGGTTGTCATCAGAAGGTTAGAGAAGAAACTCATGCTCACAGGACATGCATCCTCCCTACAGGATGGGGGCTGAAAAGCAAAAGTGCATTACAAAGGTGTGCTACATGCCTGGGGATCTCCCATTTACACTGAGCTGCCTGGACATATTGCAGAAATCTGCCTATTCCACCCATAAAATGTGGGATCCTTAAAGAATCCCTCCTGTGATGCTGCTACTTAGCTTATTGAGAGCACACAGCTCCAAGCATGCCAGACTTCCTCTGTGTAATCATTTTACAAACATCTATCTGCTTAGAATTCACTCTGCTGCAGAAGGAGGGATGCAGGATCTTATGCTTTCGCTCTATGGTGAGACAATGCCAAGTGATTATGTCTGAGCCAGATGGCATCTTATTCAGGCCAGCAGGGAGAGTATCAAGTAATGCAAGTGGAGCCCCCTTAGGGCTTAAGTAACTTAAATCTTCACTCCTATGCTTTACTCGCCTTGAGAAATGGGATGGATTTTGCTCCAAGATTGAAAGTTTCCAGGTTTCATCCACTCTACATACTTTGTCAGGACTTGACCACTTCCAC